TTTGCCTCTCATGTTAATGTTTGGTTTTATGACTGTTTGCAATATTCGTCAGTCAAGAGGTCGAGTAGCTAATAGAGATACACTGATTGTTTCACACACGGTAACAACCAATACAAATCCACGACGTCGAATGTCCAAGCAAGATCAGAATCTATTAATTATGCTTTTTGTACAAATTTTTATTCTTGTCGTATTGTCTGTTCCATTAGGTTTTCAGAAATTATACGCAGTAATAATGGCTGATAGAACATCATCTGCATTACAAGTAGCCATTGACAATTTGGTTTATAATCTTGCTCAATTACTTCATTTCTTAGGAAATGGAATGCCATTTTATATTTATACACTAGCTGGTGGAAAAGTGTTTCGTAAAGCTTTATTCAAATTTTTCATCCATTTAAGACATCACAATTTTCATAGATCACGATGATTTTATTTTTTCTATTTCATATTTATTCAGTGGACATATTTATTCCAAATTTATTTAGTCTCGTATTATAATAATAGTGTTCATATAATGAAACGCTGAACAATATCCAAAAGCAAGTTATATAGATTACGAAACAGAGCTATCGAAGGCTGTAGCACGACATGGCGTACTATTATAAAAATGTCATTGAATCAATGAGAGTACTATGTCAAAGTTTTTGAGTATCGAGCAACAAAATATTTATTATGCATATTTTTGTAAAAAATTACTGTTGTGTTAATTTTTGTTCATGATTGTAAATGTGTTCTTGTAGTTAGAAGTTATAAAAAGCATACAATGTCAAAATGCATGTTTTCTGTAGAAAAAGTACCGACAGATATTATTACTAAAAAATATCAGGTGTACTAAAAAGCTTGCAACATCACGTACTTTGCATATAACTCGACACAGAGAAAATACAGCACTGTGACTATTTTTAAAGATAAACTGTCGATTTCTTTACAAAACTAGCAAAAAGAAAACCCTATTGGTTTTTTCTGATGATTTTTTTTTATAATATTGAAAGGAAAGTTTCGGTGTGAGCTATCTCTTGACTCACGCCCTCACTGATACTCATATCCATAGAGAATATGTTATCGACACAGACCTGATAATTTCCAGAACGAAAAGTGAATACATAAAAAAAACGCATTATAATGAAAGATAATCCAGCGTGGTTAATTGTTGTATTTATTTACTAATTAGGCATCAAATATGAATGCAACAGCATTTAAATGTCTAATTATACTTTGTATAATCATTTTGTTTTCCTTCTTGCATTAAAAGAATAAACAATATGGACAAATCATGTATGTTGCAATATCAATGAATTTCGATTCATCAATAAATGTTTTCTTCCGTCTTATTCTATATTATAATGTAAACATTCTTTCTGTTATCATCACTAACAATCCAACTGGATATAAGAAGGTAATACTATAGAAATGAGAGTATACAAACTAGGCTAACTGAAATCGTATTTTATTTATCAATCATTTTGTTTTCTCTATTCCAACAAACTATATTGAGTCAATAGTTCAGATTTATTCAACAGGATCTACAATATATAATTGTATATCATTGAGTTCACTTCATAAGTTTTAGTTTTAATACATGTAGAACGAAGATTTAAGACAATACAAGCTTCCTCAATTATAAATTAGATATTCACATGAAACATGACCTGTTTTGTTGAGTGCGTTTTTATAAAACACAATTGCTAATGAGTGCCGAAGTAGGTAGTAAAAAAAGTGAAACTTTCATCGGGTTGGGTGTGGGGTGTGGGTGTCGGGTGTGTGTGGGTGTGGCTAGAGTGTGGGGTTGGGTGTGGCTGTGGATATAGAGAAGCTTCAACACCCCCACACCCAGCCTACATCGACACCCACACCCACACCCCACCCCCACCCACACCAACACTCACACCAGCACCCACATCCCACAGCCACACCCTCAACCGAGTGATATGATGAATTCATTTCGAATGAAACTTTTATTCTTCGAATTCATAGTATAATCTATATTCAGTAAGAGGAACATAATTGAATAAAATTCTCATTGGTGAAGTATAACTGTCTTATTGAAATGATTTGACTTTTATACAAATTTTTTTTTCGATTCGCAAACTCCCTATTCTATTTCAAATCTGTAGTGTTTTCTAGGAGATGTGTAAGAAGTACTCAGTTCAGTTGTTTGATGGAGAAGCATCCAGTGATTCTTCCTCTACAGTTTCCTATTTCAAGCATCAGTTAGTGTTGTCCATGTCGTCATTCTAAGGAGCGAAAGATTTTTGTCTTTGTTCAGCAGAAACGAAAATACAGAACTGAAAAGAATGAAATAGACAATAATAATATGTCTAGATATGCACAAGAAAAATCTTGTATTCACTATTGTTAAGGAATTCTCAACAGCATTTTATTCTTCTGTAGAATCTGTAAAGTTGCATATGTCTTCGAATTGTGGCTTTCGAAATGAGCTTTTTCGTATTATTGCTTCGATCAAACATGATCAAAGGAAAGCAGAATGTGCATGTGGGTAGATGAATTGAATACTAACAGTCATACCTACGAATGCTTTTAGGAAAAAACTTCCATCTTTATATTAGTGATTATACTGTTTCATTTAATATTTGTCGAGTTAAATATTCGTTAGCTGATGAATAAATATATGTCAATAGCAAGTACTCTAATAAAAATTAAACAGTCGAATGATTTTCCGGTTTCTTTTTATGTAATTTGACGACAATAATTTTTTAATCCCTTCTATTCGCACATTCTTCACAAATGTCGAATGCTTCCCCTGAACAATCGCAACACCATGATAAAAACCAAATTTGTCTCGAACATATGTCACATACAATTCTGACTGATGCATGTGGATACTGGAACCTTTTCTCACGCATATTCGAGTTATATAGCTCCAGACGATGTCCTCTTGGACATTGCAGCTTCAACGTACCTGCAAAAAACAAAATACAACAAAAAAGAATATCTACTTGTTGAATCAGAGAAAACTGTTATATATTAGAAAAGAAAGTACCCAGTCAAACAGAAATTTCGAAAAAACGCATGAAAACGCGTTTATAGGCGTTTTTTGTAACTTTCTAGGCATTAAAACGACAAAAATCCCAAAGTTTTGGAAGTTAAAACGCTCTATTATTTTAGAATTGAAAAACCTTGCGTTTTCACGCCCAGAAACTGGAATTGTCGCCGTTTCAACGCCTAGAAAGTTACAAAAAACGCCTATAAACGCGTTTTCGTGCGTTTTTCTAAATGAGCGTTAATCACCCACAATCGTGGTTCCGTTTGTGCGTTTAAACGCGTTTTTTCGAAACTTCTGTTTCACTGGGTAGAGTCGAACCAATGAATTTTCGTACCACAACAGTTTGCAGTTTTTCACGTTGAAAGCCAACATGTAACGGTCGTTTTGATTTGATGCTTTATCTTTTAGGATTAGAGCTCCATCTATGAGGGACGTGAAGTGATTTGATGGTGTATGTCATGACTAATATAAAAATAGATCTACTCATGTTGATTATTCGACTAGACATCCTAAAACTTCGATAAGTATGAGAGTACCAGTCTAATTTCAGCTTCCTACCAATCTATCCTGAATTAGAAATATCGAATACTTTTATCAATTTTAGCTTAGGAACCTCGTTATTATTGTCGAATATAATAAATCCTGATTACAAATAATTGCTTTATACAAGGGTGTGGGTGTGTGGATGTGGATGGTGTGAGTGGTACACCCAGCCACAGCCACACAGATACCGACACCCCACACCCACCCACACCCTTTTCATTGAAAAACGTTCAAAAAGCGGAAATTCAATTTATTCAATATGGTTACCGTTGATTTCTAGTTGAATAGGTGTCTAAATTAAATTTAAAAGCTTATAATTAAAGCAAAAAGGATTAACAAGGACTAACTGTTCGATTTTGTTGAGCATCTATCAAATATTTTGTGCCTGAAGGCCCGATTTCATTTCCACGAAGTTTAAGTGTAGTCAGTGTCTGAAAAAAATTGTGAAATAAAAAATGTTAAGATTTTAAAGTGTTCTATATTACCGTGTTATTTATCAAAGCATCTGCCAGATGATAAGCTCCTTGATCTCCAATATGATTTGATCGAAGATCTATGCTTTTGAGTATCTATTATCGATATTTATTGTAAGCATGAAACATATGAAGCAAGCAACATGATTACTGTAGAATTTCTTATTAACGAAGCTAGAATCTGTGCACCTCTATCACCTATTTTAGTTGTTATAAGACTTATTGTTCGAATGACCTGAAGAACATTAGTAAAATGCATATTAAACAAGAGATCAATCGAGGATTACTGTATTTTTTTGTAAAACAAATGATAAAAGTTCGATTATATTATCTCCAATTTCATAAAAATTGAGATTAAAATAGTCGCGATTCTAGAAAGAGGTCATGAACGAACAATAATAATATTGAATGATCATAGATTACTTCATAATTCAGAATATCCATTACAGCTGAAATAGCTTTACCAAAAACGAATTTATTCTCATTCAGATTGAGATATTTCAGATTCTAAATTACAAATGAAGTGACGAATACTAAAATGATAAAAGAATCTAAGATCTGACTGTGTTGTTTTTGAGTGCATTAATGAAACTATTCGCTCCTTTATCTCCAATCTGATTCTTTCGAAGATCCAATCTAGTAAGTACCTATAACAGACAAAAAAAAGCGAAACGAAGAAAAACTAGTTACTGATAATTACTGTATTGGTTTCTAAAGTATGAGCTAAATGTTGGGCTCCTTGATCTTCGATGCAGTTATTTTGAAGTGCAAGTGAAGTGAGAGTCTATCCGTATGATAAGAAAGCGATAGATATAAGTAATAGAAAGTTAGAAATCGATAGATACTTGATGATGTTGTAATGCTTTAGCCAAATATATTACTCCTTCGTCTCCAATTCGATTATTGTCGAGATTCAGTGTGATTAATTCCTAGTTTCCAATAATGTGAAAACGAAAAATAATGGAACTAAGTTATTAGTGATTACCTTTGTTTTACTCAGTGCATCGGCAAGATGTTTCGCTCCTTGTCCTGTAATACTATTGCTATCAAGATGTAATTCTTTAAGTACCTATAATGAACAAGTACAATATTAAAGTATAATAACTGTTGACATTTACTATATTAGTTTCTAAAACATGAGTCAAATATTGAACTCCTTGGTCATCGATTTGATTGTCTCCTAGATATAGTTGAGCTAGAGTCTACGAGTACAATAAAGAGGAGCAGAAGAAAATAAATAAAAATTAAATCCATGATAAATACCGAATGCTGTTGTAATACATTCGTTAGATATTGTACTCCTGTATTTCCAATTTGATTGCCCGTAAGATTGATTTGAACCAATGTCTAATTTTGAACAACATGAAAAATGAAACTTATTAAATCAAGTTATGAATATTTACTTTCTTATGATTCAGTGCATCAACAAGATATTCTACTCCTTGTTTTCCAATATTGCAGTAACTGAGGTCTAATTCAGTGATAGTCTAGATTACTAAAACATATTATGAACAACAATAATGGGTAATATAAACCGTATTATCGTGTAAAGCTAAGCTAATATATTTTGCACCAGTGATTCCTATACGTGTTGCATGCAGCCGTAATGTTTTCAATTTCTGTAGTAAGAAATAAATATTGAAAAATTTGAAGAAAAATTAAAAAACTTAAATTACCTTGTTGTGTCGCATGATTACAAATGATTCTAGTGCTCTACATAAAACACTAGGATTGTTTGTTAAACTGAGTGTTTTGAGTGTCTAAAGGAAACAATTATCTTTGAGAAGTACATACAAGATAAAGTAGAACTCACTGTATTTTTTATAATTCCATCAGCAAGGTTTTCCATTCCTTTGTCTTGAATTTGATTCGAATCGAGCTCTAATACAGTAATAGTCTGAAAAGACTACAGATATAAACGAAAAGAAATCATCAATAAATGTTACCTTGTTCTCTTTTAACATATCACCTATGTATGCTGCACCTATATTAGTAATTCGATTTTGATTTAATTTTAATTTATGAACAGACTATGAAGAGGAAAAAATAAATTAATGAAGAAATATCAACAGACACTCACCGTCTTTGTTCTTAAGATATCAATCAAATAGTGTAATCCTTGGTCACCGATGTTATTGTCTGATAGATCAATTGTCTGAATAACCTAGTAATACAAGATAAACGACCACTTTATTGATAATTGGAAAATGATATTTCTATTTGTAGACAAGGCGACATATATTTGCTTTTTTTCAGTTCTAGTTTTTTTTCCAAAATAAAAAAAAGGGTTGCAATCAATTGATATGTGAAAATCATGAAGAAACATTGTCAAATCAAAGTAAATCGAACTCACTGAATGATATCGTAATGCTTCGGTCAAATATCGAACATCCTTATCTTCAATTCGATGTCTTGTAAATATCAACTCCTTGACGTTCTATTTGATATAGTGCGTATGAGGCTATATTTTGTAGAAAAAAGAATTATAAATGACCTTATGATTTTTAATGCGAATTGCTGTTTCAACGACAAAAAATCGATCATTTTGATAATCAGTGAGACGAAGTTTCTTTAAAGTCTATATGAAGAAAGATTGCTTAAAACAAAAGACAATTCGCAAAATCACTCTATTATTTTCCAAAGCATTAAAAAGATCTTCTACTCCTTTTTCTCCAATATTATTTGATCGTAGATCGATTTCTTGAAGAGTCTAAAGAGAACGAGTACTACAAGAAAATAAATAATAACTATTACTGACCGTATTGTTTTGTAAACCATCAGCGATGTATTTAGCTCCTTTATCGTCGATTTTATTCGATTTAAGATCTAATACGATAATTTTCTATACAGAAAACATGGACATACATTTGAAAACAGTATAGAATGAAGGAAAAATAACCTTGTTGTTTCGTATTTGAAAACTTGCGTACATAGCAACAGCATCACATTGGTCATTACCTTTTAGATCGAATTGGACAAGTTTCTATATATAAATACGTTTAGATGAATTGAATAAACTATAAAGAATGCAGCAATATTACATTTTTATTTCGAAAACATTCATAGAGATGATCCGCAGTTGTTGTACTAATTCCATTGGAACTAAGATTTAACACTCTTAGTACCTACGAAGCAAAATAATCAAAGTTTTGAGAAAAATAAAATACAATGAATACTTACCATATTGTCCCGTAAAGCATCGGCTATATAAAGTGCTCCTTGGTCTCCAATTTTATTGTCTCTGAGATCAAGTGTAGTTAGTTTCTTTTTATAGACATAAAAAAAAAAAACAACTGAAAAAATTGGAGAAGTTGTCAACACAACTACTACTGTGGTTCAAAAGTCACTATAGAAACTCAGAATATTTTTGAATTAAATGCATTGAGATTTACTAATATAAATGAGATAGTCGTGATATTCTCTAATTTTCTAGAGATCTAGTTTTCAACTTAACTAATAGATGATTATAAGTTATGGTATTCTTCATTCAGTTTCTTTTTACTAGATACCGTTCGTTTTGATCTAATAAAAACTATAAGCCTAAAAAAACAACGTTAATTCATGATTACCATTTTGTTTCGAAGTGAATCGGCTAGATATTGTGCTCCCTTGGTTTCAATGTGATTTCCTCCAAGAACAAGTAAACGAAGTACCTATTTTTAAAAGATAAAAATAGAAGATGAAAAGCGTAGAAGAAACAAAGTTACCGTGTTATTGACTAAAGCCTCAGCAAGAAATTGTACACCTTCATCACCTATTTCATTGTTTTCTAGATGAATACCGCAAATTTTCTATGTAAAAATTCATCAACTAACTCGTTGCATATAGTATGAATAATTAAAAGTTACCGTGTTGTTTCGTAATACGTTGCTTAGATATTGTATTCCTTTGTCTCCGATTTTATTGTCTCCAAGTTGAAGGGAAACAAGTGTCTTTTTTCGATGAAAACAACAAGAATAAGCCACATAGTGAAACAAAGAATTCTCTATTGGAAAATTACCGTATGATTTTTTAAAGCGTCAACTAGAAATCGCACACCTTCATCACCAATCTCATTCTCATCGAGATGAATATGTGTGATTACCTATATAATAAGGATAAATCGATTTTTTGAATATAATAGAAATAATTAATAGTAACCATATTTTGTTTTAATGCATTGCTCAGATATTGAACTCCACGAATTCCGATTTGATTCTTCCCAAGACTCAGTCCAGTAAGTGTCTTATGGTGTCAATATATAAGTAAAAGTACATGCAAGTCGTAGAAAAATCAGATGAAGAGTTACTTTAATAGATGTTATCATATCAGCTATATATCGTGCACCGTCTTCTCCGATTCCATTTTTTTCTAGATTAATATGTTGAATTGTCTATATAATTAATAACAATGAAAAAACAACTGTGCGTCAATGTGAAAAGAGAGTTACCGTATTTTCTTGCAATTCACTGCTCAGAACGTGTACTCCATTGGTTTCGATTTGATTGTCTCTTAGATCAAGGTAAATCAGTGTCTTTTTGTTGTAAAAAATAAATCGAGAATGAAATACATAGACATCAATGTTACCGTATTATTTCTCAAGCCTCCAGCAATATATTGAACACCTTCTTCTCCTATGGCGTTAGAACCTAGGTGAATACGTCGGATAGTCTATATAGTAATAATGACACAATTT